TGGCAGTTTGGTCTGGTGGTTAAGGGTGCTGGACTCCCACGTGGTAGAGTCCAGGTGGCTGGCTTTCTCACTTTATCCCCCTCCTTCCCTACCTCCCTCCTGTCCTCTCTCACACTCTGGTCAAATTAAAATAAATGAATAAATAACATTAAATAAAATTATTCTTTTTTTAAAAGTTTTAAAATTTAGTCCCGTGCTTTTTACCTCCTGCTGGGTTAGTTCATAGGAGGTCAGATATATGATACTTTAGCCTAGGGAACCATGGAGTAGGAGACAGAAGTATTCTCTCATTCAAATGAGCAAGTTAGAGAGAATTAGAGCCACGAATATGGAACTTGAAGAACTAGAGAGGAAGAGACATAACATGGGAGTAACTACACAAGACTGGTCTCTTAACACCCTTCCCCCATAGTAAGACTGTTGAAGAGAAAGGGGGACCATTGCTTATTTTCCCATACTTAGTCAATTTAAAGGGCTATTCTCTTTTCTACTTTAAATTGTCCTTCCTTAAATAAAACTGTTGTATATGTAAATGATAGTTAATAGTTTGTCAGGTTAGTACTGTTGAAATGACATCAGGAATCCCGTCAGCCCTCTTTAACGTATATATGATTGGGAGGAGAAGAAGTTTATTGATTTATGAAATAAAAATAGCCTGCCCCAGGCTACACATTTTTGCTGTTACCTTCTGTTGGTTTGGACCTATATTGTGGGGCTTTGTTTTATAGTAACAGCTTTATGTATGCTATAGGGAGTATAGTAGTGTGCCCCTGTGTTTTTTGGCATGAGGTTTCTCATTTCTCATTCATGTCCAATAAAGAGATGAATTTGTTGTACACATTTTTTTTTTTAATTAAAGCTTGCATTTATAAGGGGTTTTAAAGACACTTAGTTCACATGTTTGAGGTTCATTTTTTAGAGGTTATTTTGCTGGAATAGTTTTTTCAAATACTTCAACATACTAGTATTTTATCTCTGAAGGTGTCTGTCGTATCCACTTGTACTAATGCAAAGATGGAGCAGTGTGTAAGGGATAGTTGAACCAAAAAAGTACTTTGAAATTATAGAAGTGGAGCTATACTTTTAAAATTTTCAGTTTCTATTAATAGTTCTTTTGGGCCGGCAGGTGGTGTGGTGGTTAAGGGCACTGGACTCCCACATAGCCAACTGCGGTTTGAGTCTTGAACCTGGCAGTTTTCTCTCTCTCTCCCTTTCTTTCTCTCTCTCTCGCTCACTTGTTCTGTCCCTCCTTGGTCAAATTTAGATAGATAGGTCAAATTTAGATAGATAGACAGATAGATAGATAGATGGAGGGAGGGAGGGAGGAAGGAATGAAGAAAAATAATTCTTAAAAAAAGAGAGAGCTCTTTTAATATGCTTTTCTTTCCTTATCTTTCTAGTATATTGAGTATGGACAGCAGTCTAGAGATCCTCCTGTGAAAATGCAGGGCTCTATCACAACCCCTGGAAGTATTGCACTGGCTCAGGCCCAGGCTCAGGCCCAGGTTCCAGCAAAAGCTCCTCTTGCTGGTCAGGTTAGCACTATGGTAACCACCTCAACAACCACCACTGTTGCTAAAACGGTTACAGTCACCAGGCCAACTGGAGTCAGCTTCAAGAAAGATGTGCCAGTAAGTAGGTCTGTCTTTATTCTTTTCCAGGATTTGTAGTTATATTGCAGTGTATGTAGTAGTGAGTGAGCATGTATTATAATTTTATTATAAACATAACACATGCCGGCTAAATACATCTATATCTAATTCTGACTGTCTATATATACATATATAAAGCGGCATTTCTGGAATTGTATCTCCCTTGCCCATAATTTCTCACAGTCAACCAATATTAATAATAGTTGAATACATATTCTTGCCCACACTTCCCAGTGCTCATTCACACTGTCTGGTTTTGTGTCTATAGGAATCTGTATACATCTTTTCTGGGATTTTCAAAGAAAGCATTTTAGCTTACTTGTTTCATGTACTTGTTACTTTTTTAGCCTTCTATTAATACTACAAATATAGATACGTTGCTTGTGGCCACAGATCAAACTGAAAGAATCGTGGAGCCCCCAGAAAATATCCAAGAGAAAATTGCTTTTATCTTCAACAATCTCTCACAGTCAAATATGACACAAAAGGTGAGCATGGTTTATAAATGACTTTTTTTCTTTATGGGTTTAAAAATGTATTTTTGACCCTTTTTAACACTTAACTTTTTTCACTGAAGGTAGAATCACTGTGGTATTAATCCAAGTACTTGCAGTAGGTTTTGAAGACATTAAAGTAGTGTCAGTCTAAATGGTATAAAAGGTATTGTTTTGTGGTCAGTAACAGGCTTTTTGAAATAAACTTCATTTTCTTTTGGTGATAGAAAGTTTCATTTATTTTTCTAGTCATAGTTAATTTCTTCCCAGAGACAATTCAGTGTATATATTAGGCATTTAATAACTGAGGTAGACGTGGTGGTGGTGGTGGTGGTGGTGGTGGTGGTGGTAGGGGAGAACTTGTTCCCAAGGTTATATGCTAAGCCAGAATTTGGAAATGCCAGTATTGATTGATAATGCTAGCTTAAGAAGATAATGATGTAAGTACCACCTTCAAATTGTCAGTATAATAGGCTAGGTAATAATTGAGGCCTTGAATATCCTTTTAGAAGAAAAGTTTCAAAATCCATATGATTCCTAGAAACGAGAATTTTAAAAAATACAGCTTTGGTGTTAGATCCATTAATGAGAGGCTACAGATTTATAATTAAAGGTGGGGACAAGGGACTACATATTTGATTATTTTAAAGCTGAAAATGACTGGAGATGTTTCTCTTCTTGTCAATCACAGTTTGCAAGCTGATTGACTATGTACTTTGGAATTGAATATACTAAACTTCATAGCCCTTGTCTGACCATGGATAAAGGCATAATGCAGTGCTTTAACATCCGCTTAATGTTGTAGGAATGCACATACTGTAGTATGCTTTACAGAAACCAAACTTTATTTTATCATAATGCAATTCTGTGCTTCTTATGTTATATTGATTGCTAGGTTGAAGAGCTGAAGGAAACTGTGAAGGAAGAATTTATGCCTTGGGTTTCACAATATCTCGTTATGAAGAGAGTCAGTATTGAGCCAAACTTTCATAGCCTATATTCAAATTTTCTTGATACACTGAAGAATCCTGAATTTAACAAGATGGTTCTAAATGAGACGTACAGAAATATCAAAGTAAGAGTTAGTTCTTATATTCCTTTTTATTGTTTTGATTTTGGATTATATAGGTAAAATTTTGGTGGGAAGAATTTCTTATTTCCTCCTTTGTACTTGTGAGTTTAGATATCCTGTGGAAAATTTTTCTAGGTTTCGTTTCAAATGCGGAGGGGACCAGCAGTTAGCGTAATGGCTATGTTGCTGGACTCCCACGTGGTCGACCGCGGTTCGAGTCCCGGACCCGGTGACTTAAAACTCACGCTGGGCGCGTGTGAGTGCATGTCCAAGATCCCGAGAGGAGAATGGAGGAGAAGGAATTGAGGCGTGGCCATCCCTCCTGGGGGTGATTTCTCGCTTTCTATCTCTCTGTCTCTCTCTGTCTGTCTGGCGAGCGCACGTGCCCTATTGCAAAAACCTCTTCAAAAAAAAAAGAAAAGAAAAGAAATATGGAAATCAATGTCAAGAAGAATTTAATATTATAGTCATACTTACATGGAAAGTAACCACTATCTTGAATTTGTTTTCATCATCCCATGCATGATTTTAGAAACCTTACTGTCTGTTGCACATAAATAATACTGTTTTTCTTATCATATTCCTTGTGACATTGTCCACCATGTATCTTTTTTACTTGACTTTTTCCTCTGGATTTTATTTGCAGTATGCTCTTAGTTCTAGTTCCTCTAAAAATTTGTCTTATAGAAAAACCACTGAATGAGGTCACCCCATGCCACATTGGTTAAGGCAGCTGTATCCCATGTGGCTGTGGTTCAAGTAGTGAACTTGACTTGAGAAACACTCTGGGTGCATGCATGTCCAAATCATGAGAGAATAGAGAAGAGATTGAAGTGTGGCCATCCCCTGGGAGTACTTCCTCACTTTCTGTCTGTCTCTGTCTCTCTCTTTCTCTGTCAATGATAAGTGTTTATGCCCTTTAGGAAAATTAAAGGAAAAAAAAAAAAGAAAAACCATTGAATGAATAAATATTGCTACTGACATTTAGTTTGTTAATCACTTTATTATCAATTACATTGTAGTGAATGTTGTCATTTTTATCTTCTGCCATTCAGTTGCCAGGTATCTCTGTACTCGACTTTTGTTGGGATAGCCATTGTCAAGGGTCTTTGCAATTTGTTTTAAGGTCACACTCTTTAATGAACTGGTGCTTATGGAGTGGAAATTCAAGTATTTTAAATTCCAAACCATTATCTATGAAGAGAAGAAAAATAAAAATAAAACAAACAGCATAAATCAGCATACAAACGGCGTAAATCAGCATACAGCTATGATCATTCTTTTTTTTTTTTTTCTTTTTTTTTTTTTAAGAGGTCTTTGCCTTAGGATATGTGTGCTTACCAAAGAAAGAGATGGTGTGAGGGAATATGAGAAATCACCTTCAAGAGGGGATGGCCATGCCATAATCTCTTCTCCATTCTTCTGTGATATTGGGGCATGCATGTACATGTGCCAAGCATGATTTTCAAATCACCAGGTTTGGGATTTGAGCTGCTGTCGGTCATATGGGAGTCCAGCAACATAACCCCTAAGCCATCTGCTGTCCCTTCCTTTGAAAAATTTTTTTCAAATAATTGTTTAATTTTATTTATCATTATTATTTTTAAATTTGCTATAGGGCACATGTGCTCACCAGAGAGAGAGAGAAAGGGAAAGTGAGAAAACAAGTCCAGTACTTAAACTGGAGTCAGCTATGTGGGAGTCCACTGCCCCAACCACCAGCTACCTGCCAGCCTCTGTGATCATTCTTTACTGAAAATTTGTGACACTGGCTTAGGAACAAGCACTATATTTAAGCCGATGGATGGGAACTTTCCCCATTCTTGGTTACGCTGTAGTGCAAAAGAATTCCTGACTCTTTGATGCATAGCTGACTTGCACCATTCTGCTGTTGCATTATGGAGTTAAGGAACATATATTCAGCTTTTATTATCTGACAGAAGTGATGATTCACTCACAAAATTTCAAGATCCTGTTTAAGAAAACAAAAACTTGTGTGTATGTGCACACACCAACACCAAAACCACTCCTTTGATGATTGTTTACCTAAGAAAGGCAAGAGCTAGATAATCAATTGATAGATTGGGTGCTCTAGGAATAAGAGAACAGTTGATGCCAGCCGGTAACATGGTAGGTAAGGTACTGGATCTCACATGGCAAGCTGTGCCCTGTAGTTCCTGAACATGGTGGCTTGAAAAACAAGCCGGTTATGTGTGCGTGGATGCTCTAAATCCTTAGAGGAGTATAGAGGTAAAGAGATTGAAGAATGACCTTCCCCTCTGGGCACGCTTGCTTGCTTTCTTCATCTCTTACTGGTGTGTATATGTACCCTATAGCCAAAAAAAAAAAAAAAAAAAAAAAAAAAAAAAAAAAAAAAAAAAAAAAAAA